AAACTGCTTCTGATGGTCCTTTGAAATTGGTATTGAGAAAAAGGCATTGGCCAGATCAATAGCTGCATACCAACACACCATTCATAAGGTTTTCACTGGCCAATTGTTTTAGAAGCAGATCACCAGCTTCCCCTATCCAAATGGCTTAGGCTGTAAAAATAATGAATTGCATACAACAAAGTGGATGAATTTCACAGACATAAATAAATTTAATCAGACCAAGAGTACATACTGTCTGATTCTATTTATATCTAGTTTAAGAGAAGGCAAAACTAGCCTATGGGATAGAAGTCAGAAGAGTGGTCACCTCTAGGGGACTACATACTAAAAAGGGGGTATGTAAGAGCCTTCTGGGGTGCTGGAAACGTACTATATCTTCATCTGAGTTGTGGTTACATGGATATACATATATATGTGAAAATTTATCAAGGTGTACAATAAAATTATATGCTATACTGTATGTGTTGTATAACTATTCATTTATCAATCATCTCATTATTTGACACTTTACATTTCGGACAATAGTAAAAAGTCTACTATTTGACTATTCTGTGTATTAATGATGCACATCTGGCAGTAACTGATGGTGAGAGTAATGCTAGCTGTGATGGTTAAGGTTATGTGTAAAGTTAGCTGGGCCATGATTCTACATGGTTTGGTGTTTATGTAATGATGTAATCTGGCAGATATGTAATGATGCAGTCATCTACATTTTTGTTTCACACCAATTTTCTCATAATGACTTGGTCTTTAGAACCTAACCATGTCAGTAAGTGAGGAGTGGTATACTAATTAAACATTTAAAAAGAGAGAAAGGGGAAAAATAAGTTGTAAGAGCTTCAAAGGCAGGAGAAAGTATAACAATTAACATAGATATTAGGATAAGGTTAATAAACTTACTTCATCCCCCTCATCAATTAATCCTTGAATGGCACTAAAGAGAGATCCATATGCTCCTACTGTCACAAGGATTTCTTTATTTGGATCAATATGATTTTGATAAAACTTTTCATATAGGCAGGACAAAGCTTTCACAAGTGATGGATGGCCCTGTTGGATGAAAAATAAAAACAATTATCCTTGGGCATGATTATGTGACGTACTTCTTTAAGTTAATATGCCTATAAAGTGTGATAATTTAAAAAAATTTGGTCTTGATAGTTATAATTATCCAAAGAAAAATTGTATTTTTTAATGAAAATTTTTTTCTTGGAAAAACTTCTCACCTCCAAATGAAGGTCACAAAGGTCAAGGATGGTCACAAAGCAAACTCTAGCATCCTTGAAGACTGCTCTTCTTTGTAGGCAAAATTACAATGAGAATTGCCCTAACTGAATTAAGACACTAACCAAAAGGTCAGCAGTTCAAACCACCAGCTGCTCTGTGGGAGGAAAATGAAGCAACCTACTTCTGTACTTTATTATACTTCTGTAAAGATTTATAGCCTTGGATGGGGAATGAAACCAAATGTACATGTTACAATGAATATAAAATAATCTCTTAAAGTAAAAATTAAAAAAAAAAAAAAGGAAAAAACTAATCACCAAAAAACAAGGTGGTGTGGTTATGTGATGAACAGCAGAATCAAAGCAGTAATCAGAATAGTCTTACTCATATGCACTTATGGCATTGACTGCTTAATCACAGTGTCCCTAGAAGTGAAACAGATGGGAAATCTACCAAATATTTACTTGTCTGTCCAAGTAGAAGAACTGTAGGTCAAATGAACAGCAGTCTAACTTGAATTGCCAGAAAGTCACAATCTATTAATTCCTAGACTTGTGGCAGTTTACAAACCCACAACCCCTCGAACAAACAGGGGAAGAGGTTGTGTTCTGTTGAAGAAGGATCCCACTACATTGAAAAAATTTATACTGTTAATCTTTCTCCCAGCTTTCCCCAATGAGATCTATGGCCTTTTACAAGAGTAACTGTTTACTGGGGAAGAGGAAATAATCACACTTTTTGGGGATAACTGGAATAGACATACTCAGCAACTGGCAAAACCCTCACATTAGATCTCTAAAACATAGGGGGCTATTATGGTAGGATACATCAAGTGGAGGCTGCTAGACATGCCTTGGCATAGGAGGGAAAAAAACAAACCCAAATCAATAGCACATTCCTGGAGGAACTGCAGAAATCATGATGTGCCACCATCAAGGACTTGAAGTATGCAGGGGTGGTGATTTCCACCATATCCCCATTCAAACTGCCTGTTTGACCTGTGCAGAAAACAGATGGATCTTGGAGAATGACAGCAGATTATTGTAAACTTAACCAGGTGCTCATAGCAATTGCAACTGCTGTTCCAGATGTTGTTACATTGCTTGAGCAAATTAATACATCTTCTGGTACCTAGTATGCAGCTATTGGTCTAGCCAATGCCTTTTTTTATCCATACATGGTTCCAAAGACCAGTTGAAGGAATTTGCCCATTGTTGATAAGGCTAGCAATACACTTCCATTATCCTTCTTCAGGGTATATCAACTCTAGACAAAAGACTGGCCAGACTTTATCTCATGTATTTTGGACACATTGTCAGAAGGGACAAGTCTCCAGAAAAGGATACACTTGGTAAAGAAGAGGGTCAGCAAAAAAGGGGAAGACTCTCAGTGTGATGGATTGACACAGTGGCCATGAGAGTGGGCTCAAGCATAGTGAAGACTGTGAGAATGGTATAGGCCTGGGTAGTGATTCATTCTGTTGTACATAGGGTCACTTTGAGTTGGAGCTAACTCAACCACATATAGCAACAACTGTGCTATGTCATAATTTAGTCCATAGGACCTTGATTGCCTTTCTCTTCCACAAGACATTATACTGGGGGGTTCCCACAAGATGGCGGACTAGGCAGAAGGACTGCACAGACCCTCTTCAACAAAGAAAAGGAAAACCAATTAACACAGACACAGAAGATAATCCTGGACCCCTGAGCCTTGAAGGGA